AATTTTCTATTGAATGCTTTTAATAAGAAATTTGGGAGCAAGGAAGCAGGTCAGTGAGAGAGCCTGCACTCAGTATGCATGAGGCCCTGGGTTCAGTTCCCAGCACACACAAAGAGAAAGATATTTCCCATGGAAAAGTTTGTGTCTCATGATGTGCTTCTAGGTGTGGTGGTGTGACCCTGTATTGTCTCAGCTTACACTGTTGGGGGTTGGGCTGCCTTGGAGTAGTCTTGGCACACACACACACACACACACACACACACACACACACACACGGATTAGAAAAGACACCTAGGCATTTTCTTCAGATGGAATAGTTCCTGTGTATTTAGCAAATGACTGGAGAAAATTGATTCTATATTCCTCAGACTTTCCCTCAGTGTTTAAACACAGTCAAGAAATTCTCAGGAATTCAGTAACACAGAATGTTTTCATTTCAGCCACATTGAAGAACAGGAGTTGTACTGTTGTTTGGTTCACCTTCTGTCCAAATAAAAATGAATGTTTGCCTCTCAGGGTTCTCTTTCTGAAACTCGGCTTTCTCAGAAGCGCTGCCTAAGTAGGTATTCTTAGAAGAATAAGGTATAAGTCAAAAGAGCCAGAGATCATTGTGCTAGGGAAAATAAAGTAGATTCACAGTATCACATTCTTTCTTGTATATGGGGAAAAACATGGAAGGTGGAGGGAGACTTTTAAGGAGTTGGAAGGGGACCAGAAGGAAGGGGAGGGTGGACGAACATGATTACTTACATGTATGAAAGGGTCAGTGAAACCCATTCTCTCATACAATTAACACACTAATAAACACAGTGAGCAGTTGGTTAGAGACCCGGTCGCTGCATGGGTATCAAGGCTTGAAAGATGCTCTTCATATGACAGTCAGTATACCATGGAGATCAGCAAAACCACCTGAAAGGCTGTTTTGAGATTCGCTCTTTGTTGAGTATGAATGCTTCATGGCTGAAGTGTGCAAACATTTTCCAGCTCTTCAAATTGCCTCATGACAAGTTTAACAGGAGGTGCTGCATGTATAACATTTGAAATGGGCATTCTAATCCAGTGCTGTGAGACTGTCATCCTGATAGTTTCCACAAAAGTTGACCTGTTTCACGTTGGTCTTAGGTGTTAGATGTTTGTGTTATAGGATATTAGAAGTGATTATTTCTGTAATTTCTGTTTTAAAAGTGCTTTCTATATTGAGTCTGTTGTCTGCCCAAGAAAGATGTAATAGGTTTTTCATACCAGTCACATCTGTTTCTTCTACTTAAAAAGTTAGGTCATTCTCTCCAATGTAGATGTCTGAAGATGTATTTGGATAGTTTTGTCCAGGTAGGTGATATCGCTTACTGTGTTACTGACTACTGTAACCTTTACTGATGATGAGTTTTCATCTAACAGTGTGTTTCATGGCATGTCAAAAGTTCGACCTTTGTATATTTCTTCACCTACTTTCTTCTCTTTCCTAATTTTCCAGGAATGATGTACTATTTCTGTCTATTCCTCTAAACCATTGTATCCTACTACCTTTGTCTTCAGCCCCAAGAGAATCTGAAAATTCCCAGTGTTTGCCTTTGTACAGCAGAATTGGTTTAGTGTTGCAACAAACCCTTGGTGTTCCTACTGACCACAGAGGCCTGTGCCTTCACTTCACACCTTGCATCTTTGTACTTTGTTAACCTGCTTAGAAGTTTTTCCATATACTAGGCAAGAGAGATGTATTTCAGCACAGTGTCAATAGGGATTATTACCCAAATTCAGAGTATATAAGATCTGAAATCATGATTATTATGAATTTTATCACATATTAAGTGAGAATGAGGGGTTTGGTAGAAAATCATGAGTTACCATGGAGTGCCAGACTGGGAATAAACAGAACAGTGCTTCCCTTGGGGCAAATGGCCACATTGTCACTAACCTGGTGGCTGTCCCTGGCTAGGGCACTTTGTTTATGTGCTTCTGTTTCTTCCATGTCTCTGGTTGCTTGGCCCTAGCCAACCCTTGTTGCCTTGCCTTTCAAGATGAAGTATCAGATTGAATTCCTGCCATAGCTGCCCTTCGGTGCATAGGTTGGAGTCCTTGGATCTGCCCTCTTGTAATTTTCTAAGGCTACAGAATTAGAATTAGTGAGAAACAAAGGGTTAATTTATCTCTTGGCTTAGGTCAAATATTTGTTTACCAAAAAACTGGGTGTGGGCCCCTAAACTTCTCTAGTTGAGCTGTCACAGTCAGATCCTTTCAGTAGCAAAACAAGTTGCACCATGGAATAGCAATTTATTTTTATAGTCACAAAATAATATAAAACTACTTACTTTATATCGAAAAAGATCCTGAGAGGGCATTTTGGCTAAATAAAAATTGGACATAGTCTTAAGATTGAGAGTAAAAGTGATCTGTGCGATGGTCCCACTGATGCTCTGTTGCAGCCCTCTTTGTGGATGTTTGGTTTCAGCTGTGCTGCATGTGGGGGCTACCTTGAAGACAGGTGGCCGCTCATACCTTCACAGTCTTTTAAAGAAGGAAAGTAGAATTTGCAAGTGAAGGAACAAAGTTCAGGAGTTTTCTGTTTTATTTCCTTTGATTTTAGTTTTCTAATTAACTGGAATTTAAATGAATGATAAACCTTTAGGAGATTCCTCCATTAGGAAATATTTGCTTGTTTTATAAAAGATCTCAAGAATTGTGTGATATAACAGTTGCCTTTTCTGGTAAATTTTTCATATTAAACTTAGTTATTTGACATTTTGATTAGTGTTCTGAGATGCTTTCTTAAAAGTATAACCTGCTTCCAACTGAAATTCAAGCAAAATTAGTTTCTCAAAAATGACATTATTTCTGTTTCCCCTATCATTTTGTTTTCCAAAATTTGTATTATCTGCAGTTTTCTAGGAACCTAGCCATTATTCATGACACTTCTGTCAATGGGGTTTTCCAAACTACGTAAAGTGATAATTGCAGTGAACAGTACTATTGTTCATTGTGAGTCACTATGCCATTTATAAAGCTGTTGAAAAGAATATTGCCTTAGGTATTGTAAAGTAAAACAACTGTCAACTTGATCTGCTCTATGATGAAGTAGACATATAAAATAACATTTGGTGTTTCACATATGTTTAATATTAAAAGTTATGTGCTATATTGGGCTTAGGATTAATAGTTTTTAAAAATATTTTTATTAATTCTTGAGAACTTCATACAATGCATTTTGATATTTCTTTTCCCCCAGCTCTTCCCAGATCCACCCCCACCTCCCTATATACCTAACTTTTTGTTTTGTTTAATTTTGTTTTGTTTTTTCCCCCATCAAGTCCAATTTGTGTTGCTCAAATCCTCTTGGGTATAGAACCTGCCCTGGAGTGTGGTCAGCATAGCAGGGCTCACACGATGGAAGAAGACTGACTGACTCTTCCTTCTCAGCAGCTGTCAGGTGTCAGTAGTGCCTCAGGTAGAAGTGGGACTTCATGTTCACTTCCCCTTCTCCTCCATGCTGGGATTTTGTCTGGCTTGAACTTGAAAAGGTCTTGCACATGCTGTCACATTGCTGTGAGTTCATACATGCATCTGCCTGCTGTATGGAGAACACTGTTTCTTTGTCGTTTATCCACCACTTACGGTTCTTACAGTCTTTCTACACCCTCTTCCACAAAGATCCCTGAGCCTTGGGGCAACGGGTATGATATAGGTGTCTCTTTTAGGGTTGAGAACTCTGAATGTCTTATTCTCTTCATGTTGATCCATCGTGGGTCCCTGTGTTACTCCCATCTACTGCAAGAAGTTTTTCTGATGAGGGTTGAGAGGATTGAGAGATGCACTAATATATTGGCATAGCAAAAACTCCTTAGGAGTAATTTAATTTTATTTTTTTAAAATATTTATTATTTTTATTTTATGTGTACGAGTGTTATGCCTACATGTAGGTAAGTGCACCCGTGTCGTGCAATGCCCTCAGCTGACAGATGAGGCTATAGGATCACCTGGAACTGGAGTTACAGACAGTTGTTAGCTGCCATGTGGGTGCTGGGATTCGAACCTGGGTCTTCTGTAAGAACAGTCAGTGTTCTTAAGTCCAGTCAGCTGGAGGCTGAGCCATCTCTCCAGCCTCAGGAGAAATTTTGATACCATGTCCATTTAGTAGAATATTAGTAGTAGGTTCTCCCAAACAATCTGTGACCTGTCTAGCCACTGGTTCTTGGCCCTGGTAACAGTGCCAGGTATGGGCTACATCTTTAGGAGTGGGCCTTAAAGTCAATCAGAAAGTGGTTGATTACTCCCATAACATTGTGCCACTATTGCACCCATGGGTGTACCTTGCCAGGCCAGGCATTATTATAGCTTGCTGGGTTTGCAGCTAGGTAATGTTGAATACTTTACTCTTTTAGTAGCAAGAATTAACTTTTCAACTTCAAAATTACTTTCTTTAATTCACTGGATATTTCAAAGGAAGAACATTTATAAGGTTTTCTGAACGTCCTCCAAATACTCCTCCATAGCCTCAGAATTATTGCTAAGTAGACTGATTCCTTGCAGAAATTGGTCAATTAATTGTATTATATTCCCCTTAGGCACAATTGGAAAGAATTACAGGATTAAAGAGCTGAGCATTTACTTATTCTAAGTGAAATGAGGGAAAATTAAATTTTCAAGTCAAATTTAAATGATTGTGAATGTATGCTCGCTTGTCTTTGCTTAATGCTGAGATTTGTATGGAATTTGCTTAGTGCATCAAGGCACTTTATGTAAACTTTATGTGGTTGAGCAGAGTGCTATACTTGGAGAAGTGGTGTTGTCTCTTTTCTTCTCCATCTGGACTTTCCACAGCACTTCTGACTTTCATTTACCTGCCTGCGAGTGTTTGAAGGTGGAATGGGAGTGGTCATTTCATGCCTGCTCTGAGGTATTTAACAGATAAAGAAATCAATCTGAAAAGTGTTACACTCTAAGAGATCAGGCTTGGCCCAAAGCTGTGCATTATACTTCTCTAATCTGAGTCTGTTTACTTTTAGGAGTGTGCAGAGTGGTGCCTAAAATGGAAGTAGATATAAATGGCGAGTCCAGAAGTACTCTGAGCACCCTGCCCTTGCCGGTGACTGAGGGAAGCTCACCAGGAAAGGCAGAGGCAGAGAAGCCCCGCTGCTCTAGCACTCCCTGCTCACCTATGCGTCGGACTGTGTCAGGCTATCAGATCCTCCACATGGACTCTAACTATCTGGTTGGCTTCACAACTGGTGAAGAACTCCTGAAGTTAGCCCAGAAGTGCACAGGAGGGGAAGAGAGCAAGGGAGAAGCTATGCCTCCGTTGCGCTCCAAACAGCTGGACGCAGGACTTGCGCGTTCCTCTCGCTTGTATAAAACCAGAAGTAGGTACTATCAGCCATACGAGATTCCAGCTGTCAATGGCAGGAGGCGAAGGAGGATGCCCAGCTCAGGAGACAAGTGCACTAAATCTTTACCTTATGAACCTTACAAGGCCCTCCATGGGCCCTTGCCTCTTTGTCTTCTTAAAGGTAAGAGGGCTCACTCCAAATCTCTGGACTACCTCAATCTAGATAAAATGAGCATCAAGGAGCCAGCTGACACAGAAGTACTACAGTACCAGCTTCAACATCTAACTCTCCGAGGGGATCGAGTGTTTGCTAGGAATAATACATGAATGACTCCCAGAGAGTTGAAACCACTTTAGGTCAGCCTGTACTCGGCTAGAGAAAACCTGCTGTCGTACTCTACCTGACCCTTCACATTATAGATGGTTATATCAGTTAAGTGTTCCTGGAACATAAAAATTGTTCAGATCAAGTTTTGGATACAGGAATGAAATCACAGGTACTTGGGGCGGGGGGGATATCATTCTAGAGCACGCAACTGCAAAGAAAACTGAATGTTGATCATTAGTTTGCATAGCTTTTTAGCTAGGAAAAGGCTTTGGTGCAGTAATTTCATCTTTATGATTCTGACACTCAAATTGGGAATGTTACCTGCTTGATTATTGCTGACATGGTATGATTCATTAGAAATTTATATCTTAAGTACTTAAGTACTTCTTGGATCTCTGTATTTTACTATAAAATGTATGTAATGATTTGTTTTATGAAATTTAGAACTTGAACATTGCTGAATTGGACCACTTTTTATTTTTAAATATTGAGTTTAAATATTTTATAACTGGTTTTGCACTGAAAACAATTAACATTTCAGATTAAGAAAATAATCTTTCTTCACTTGCCTCAATAATAATATTGAGCAATGAATTTTTTATTTCCGCATGGAAAGTTATTGATCTCTGGCTGTAAAATATTCCTTTATAGCATTATTAAAGTGTGTCTTAATAAAATTAAATTTGGGATACAAAGTATTTATTTTACAATGGGTAGTGGGTGGGAAGCTTTTCCAGAAAGTTTCCAATCTGAAGTTTTCATAAGTTGAAAAAGTTTCCTTAGTGCTAATTTTTTAATTTAAAATCCACCTGGAACTTTAAAATGGAAAGGATTCTCTTAGCTGTGATTGTCGGCTTAGTACTATTTGCATCTGAAATTCCTGTAAGTGAATGGAACTTTAATAGAGGATCTCATGATTTTAACTATCGAATGCTTAAACTTAAGTATGAAGTTATACCACTCAGCATGGCATTGGGTCATCCTAGTTTTAGTTCTCTGCAGCACAGTGCTCAGTGAAATTCTAGTTTCTGGGATTAGTGTAGGAGCCTGAAGTGCTTCTACAATTTTAATGGGCTAATCCTGGATTACTTAACAATTTATGTCAATTGCACTGGTTTAATTTGTTGCTAAAGAAATAAGTCTCTGCCTTCAATAACATATACAACTCAACTATTCTTTGATTATATTTTAGGGAAAAATGGATGTAACTTACCTTTTGTAAACATTTCTATTTCTTTTTTGACTCTTAAAGGTGCAATTTATTACTGATATGGTATTTCTGGCAATGCAGAACTACATATTTTGTGTTTTCTTTTGGGCACTGAGTTTCTTAGGGGTTAACAACCTTGCTTATAAAATAAGATCACAGTTAATGAGTGGGTCATTCCTGGAACAGTTGTGATTTTCCTTTTTCCAGAATGAACAACAAATATTATTCAGAGCAGAATAAATATTAGAAAGCCCCAGGAACTCTTAATGTTTATAACACATTCATAAAGGCAAACCATGTGGTAGGATGTGTGAAAGAGCCATTTGGAGACTGCCTCATGTCTTACTGAATTGATCAGATTTCTTGGTGGGCTGAAAAGTTTCACCTGTTGTCTATTTTAAAGTAAATTGCACCTTTGTAACATATTGTATTGATGAATGATCACTAAGATTAACTATATCTATAGAGTCATTAGTTTGACAAGAAATAGAATCCTATCAGATGCCAAAGAGTTGGGATTTTTACATTTAATGATTAAACATCGTTATTTATTATTTGCCCTGTGGAACTGTATTATTTCTAACTATGAAATAAAAGGGTGATGTAAACATACATTGTTATGTTTTGCTTAATTAAATACACCATCAGTAGGCTAGTTAAAAATTCTACCCAAGTGGCTGGTGAGATGGCTCAGCAGGTAGAGGCACTTGTTACCAAACCTGACAGCCTGAGTTTGATCTCTGGGGGCCCTACAATAGAGAGAGCCAACTCCCACAAGCTGCCCTCCTACCTCCACACGTACATCATGGCATGTGTGCATACACAGAAGTAAATAAGTAAATGTAACTAAAAAAGAAAATTCCATGCAAGCACTTACTTTATGGAAACCCTAGCTCTGTGAAATAAAAGCAAGCACTTTTGATGCCTATTGGTGCTTCAAAGTAAAGGACATACTCATGAGCAGATAGATATTCAGCTCATTTGGCAAACAAAACATTTTTTTGAGAGATCTTTGCCCAGGCACCTAAATTTCTTGAGCTAAATAAAAATACATAGTTTAAAATTTTTGTTTTTCTAGTTAAGGACAGATGAAGTTCTATGGCAAAAATGCACATGTAAAAAGTTTAATATGTCATACGTGCTATGTTCTGATAAGTAGCTGTGGCTGATGTAAAAATGTCAGAGTTCTAGAGAAGCAGTTTTCACAGCGTTTCTGCAGAATCCGTTTTGCAGTCTTACTTCCTTGGCACTCCATGGAATTGGGCTCCTGTGGTAGTATTTTATCAGAGGGAGAAGAGGAGAGGAGGAGGAAGAGGAAGGGGAGGGGGAAAGGGAAGAGGAGGAAGAGGCAGGAGGAGGCTGTCTCTCTTATCCTATAGAAAATATCCTTTCTAATATACCTTCTGGTCTTCAAGTGTTTTTTTCAAGTTCATTATAATACTCCATAATGAGCAGGGCCTACTTTGGCCAGCACAAGCATGACGCTGAATCTTTTAATGCTTGTTGCACTAACATATTACAATGTCATTTAACGTCAAGTTTTTGTTAAGATGCCACATGTTAGAATCTGGTATGGGGCAAAAAATAGCATTAGCATCTCAGTGGGTACTACTGACTTCCGTCTGGCTGCACTTTGCACCAGTGCTTGGCTCCAGGGCTCCTTTTTTTCAGCAGTCAGAGGAGAGAGGTTCTGGACTAAGATCCCGTTTCAAGGCCATCCAGTCCTGTCCTTTTCTCCTCATGCATTATAATCCCTGTGGGCTTCAGTATCTTCTTACACTCAGTTTATAGTTTCAGTATTTTGATTTTAGGAAAGTTTTAGAGAATCTAGGTTAACTTTCAAAGGAAAATTGGGCTTTCACCAAGGAAGGGGTATGTCTTAAAATCTTGAGAAAAGCAACCTATTTTTACTTATTTTTCTCACCCTAATATACTTTAGTCTCAGAAAAGTTTTTATTCCATTTATAGTTGAACTTTTTGCAAAGAAACTTTTAAATGGCCTTGGCTTAAGTGGTTTGTTCACAATCACATCAAGTAGGAGGTGAGGCTGTCACAGTTTATAAGTGGCATAAATGCTCTGGAAGAGATGGGTGAAGAGGGGGCAGGGATGTACGCTACTGTAATGCAGAGGGCAGCAAGTGTTAAGCAAAACTGTCTTTTTAAACAATGTAATTTGATTAAAGAAATGGAAATTGACAAGGAAGATTGCCTTGGAAATATAATAAACGTGATTACAAAGCTAGAAGTGGAGATTGTCGACACTTAATGATGCACTTCTTTTTGTAATATTTCTCTAGACAAGAATTCTGAAATGGACTCTTTGATATTTTACATTAGAAAAAAATAAAGCTTATTCTGTCTGGCAAGACTAGAAACAATCAAAGGAAGAATGGACTTGATTTATTATTTTTCACATGCTCCCAGAACTGCCCTGAGCTGGCAGAGGGGTGTGTGTGTGTGTGCGTGTGTGTGTGTGTGTGTGTGTGTGTGTAGTCCTTGCCATTATAAGTGACTTTGTGCAAGGTTTTCTTAAGTGGTTTCAGAGAAGAATCTAAAACCAAATTAGAATGTTGTCAGCCCCTGATCTTTTGGGCTGTTTGATGTATAGATCTATGGGAGGGTGCAGGATGAGGAAAGGGAACTCGGCGTCCTCTGGGGTGGAAGAGAGTAGCTGCAGTCAGTAGAGTCCTTAAATGCTCCTGGCTGAGGTCACTTCTGGAAAGAAGAGCTTTGAAGCCCTTGCTTTTGTGGAAAAGCCAGCAGCACTTTAAAAATTCTTTCTGAATGCTCTTAAGAAAAGATTCGTACTGTGTGCGGGTGGAAAGAGGAGGGAACACAGGTCCATGATGCTGACCTCTTATCTGATTCAGCAGGAGGAATATGCTTCCCTAAACTTTTATGTAAAAGCATTACACATGGAAATATATATTTTGAGGTCTTTTGAATCCTTTGGCTCTGGCCCAGTACTTCAAGTTAGGAAAATAACTTATATGACATGAAGTTTCTGGATTTAATGAAATTCAGATTTTGACTAAGGGATTGGAGCTGGACTGGCAAATACTGAGTGTGTTTAGCACCAAGCTTCTCATTAGTGCACATAGCAGGCATAACTAAATAATATCAGTAGTTTTGAGTAAGAGTTCTGAACCCCAAGTTTAAGCCCAAAGCGAAGAAGAGTGTTGCTACTGCCATCTTTTTGAGGCCATGGACTGAGCCTATGCCAGTGTTCTGGGAACCCAAGAGCTTAAGACATGTCTCCACCTTCAAGAACCTAACCTACCTGTTACATGGGTGGATAAGATCAGATAAAATGCATACAAATTCAGTGTTTTGTAGAGTGAACAGAACTTGAAGAGAGGGGAGCTCAACCCTTCTGGGCCTAAAATCTAAGAGGCCTTACTCAGTTTTCTGAGTGGCCTTGTGAGCTTGTTGGGTGTATGAGCCTTTATTGCTGATCTGTGTAAAAGTAGACTTTTTTTTCTCAAAAATGCCTTCATAGTGAAGTCCAGGGGGATGGATCTATATCTGTATCTGTATCTATATGTCTATATATCCATCAACCCATCCATCCACGCATCCATATGTATATATATGGAAGGCAAAATCATAGTAATTCACACTTATATGTCATACCAGGGCATGCTAGCAATGTTCCTCCGTCATCCCTACCTCTGACTTACCTGTCTGCTGAGATGAACTGACCTACTTGGTAAAAGAGTACTTTAAACTGAAGTTTTTAGACTGGGTATTGGAGAGGCAAGAGCTATGAGGAAATAAATTGAAAAGTAGATCTTGTACTGATTGTTTTTCTACCTTGTACTGCCATTGCCTTTCTCCTGGGGCAAAGTGGAATACAGATAGCACAATGAGATTGCTTACTGAATTATTTACAGTCAGAACCACATTGAAATATATTTGTTCTTACCATAACTTACAGAAGAAATGAAATTATATGAAAAAATTTTTCTTTAAAAATTTCCTAACTTTTGTCTGATGAGCTTAGAACACTGGCTTAATTGGTATGCTTCTATATTATAATTTCTAATTGAGTAATGTTGTTCTTTTCCTAATATTTCATTCATATCTTAGTGCCATGCTTATCTAATATGATTTTAAAGCAATTATATGAAAAAATTTGTAAGGAATTAGGATCTGTGTGATTGAATACTATTTAGTGGTAGCACATGTAAGGTTCACTCTAGGTAAGAAAAAGACCCATTCATGACACATGGCAGGTGGACTTTTTATTTTGGAAGAGGATACTATATTACATTTGATAACACTGCCTAGATGCCACCCTCCCCCATTAATTTCTAAGGAATTAATGTCTGTGTAAGATCAAGCTCCATACAATGTTTACGTGAAACAGGTTCCTCAAGTGAAATAATAAGGATAATAAGGATTGTAGTTTTTATCAAGTTACATGAAATCTTTCCCCTTTGAGACGGGGGGGGGGAGGGAGAGAGAGTGAGAGACAGACAGAGAGGAGAGAGAGAGAGAGAGACTGATGTTGTGACTAGGCTTGAAATTAAACCTACAGCTTCACATTCCTCACTGAGCCACACTGACTTTGTATCGATCCTGCAGATGATCATGGTGTCTCATCTATGAAGTGGGAGTTTGGAAGGGCTGCCTCACTGGTGCCATGATGAGAAAAGGATGCTTCATGTATGTACAACAGCCCTGGCATTAAGGGGCTACAAATGGTCCAAGAACTACTATGGATTTTATATAAAAATGCATTAAACATCTTTTTTTTTTTTTTTTTTTTAGAAAAATAGAAGTATAAGACTAAACTGCACTTGCATCTCGAGAATACAATTTTCTAGGTGTGTGGGAGAGGTGAGGACCTCTCTGAAGAGAATGATCATATGATAGTAAAGCTAGGAAAGGCTTATCCATTCTGCTCTCCCTACTGTCCTCTCCAGTCTGGACAGGAGTATATTATGCATGTCTCTAAAACTATCCAGGGAAGGAAACCATGTTGTCATTAACCATCATAGTTTGACCCACATTTTCTAGTGAAAAACCTAGTAGTGAAATTCAAATCCTGGTATTTAAGCTGCAATCAGCATTTCTCTTAATTCAATGGTCTTTTCGCTTTAAAGTGCCCAGGTGAGTGGCTTCTCACGTTCTGTGGGTCTTGGTGGTCTGAAGTGGGCAGCTGCCTCTGGAAGATGAATAAGCTTGTAGGTACCAGGCAAATGGCTTGAGTCCTGTTTCTCTGGGCTCTGAGAGAAAGTCAGAGTTGTTCTGTGACACTAGCCTGTGAGAAGACAGGGGAGGAATCCAGTTTATTGTGGTATACAATGAAAAGCCCTGCTGTGCAAGGTACAAGGTACTCATTCCCATTTTGTTTGGTTGTTTTTGTTATGTTGAGGGTGGAACCTAGTCCTCACCCCTGCTAGGTGAGTGCTCTAATACTTTACTATTAAGCTGTGTCTGGATGCTCAAGGTCTCCTAAGAATAGAGGTTATTCTGGCAAGCTTGGGCCAGGTTTCTAATGCCTCAGAACCTCACCCTGGATTTAGTTTGACTCCTGTGACCACTCCCAGAGTAGTCTCCTGTGATGTCTTTTTAGGATTTAAAGGGATTATTTGCTAGGGGAGAAG